TACTTCTTTTGATTACACTTAAAGCACTTCTCTTCTTTTCTTAAAGCTTTGTGATTCTTGATAAGATCTTTCTTCATCTTCTGAGCAGGTCTCTGAAGTTGACTTCTTTTATTTGTTTGTAGTCTTAAGTCATCAGTTTTCATATCTCTATAAGTACTTTCAACTGAATTAGTAGACTTTGTGTGTGAGGCATTCTTTTCAAGAGCTGCTGTCATACTTGATTGAAGTTAGATAGTCAGTACTACTATCTCATCAATATCATCTGGTATTTCCAGCTGTTCATCTAGTTTAGCTTGCATGAGCTTATTCAAGTTCTCTATATATAGATTCTTCTTTATTTTTTCAAAGCTTTCAAATTCTTCATCAATTTCTGTTACAAGCTCTAGAAATTATTAGCAGTAGACTTGATCAGTTTCATTCAAACTCTTGTGAAGATTGAAGATTACTCATTAAAAGTTTCATATATAGTTTGCTGGATCTTCTAGTCTTGTGTGTAGAAATTTCTTGAGACTATCTCAGTTACTCTTTAATAAGTTATTTTTGTGGTAAATCTTTCAGAGATCTTTTTTAATATAATCAAGTTCTGTAAGAGCATATGTGAGGGTTTTCTCATTATCTAATTTGCTTGTGTTGTGAGTGAATTTAATACTGGAGATGAACTACTAATATTTTGTATAGAAGCCAGTCTGATAGAGCTTTATATGTTGTGGTGGTCTCAAGACTAACAGACACTTTACAGATATTGAATTGGAGATAACTATATTAAGAGATTCACTTTGCAAGTGCTTTTGAGTGATCTGGAGAGTATTTAACTTTTCTTGCTATTTTATCATTCTCTTTAGTAGTTTGGTTTTCTCACAAAGTTGTTAGATTTCATCTCTTGATGCTAAGATAGACTCTCTCTCTGAGATTATAATACTAGTTTCAGTTTCATTCATGATTGAGAGAGCTGAAATAGTTTCAAGATTTGTCATCTTCTTGTAAACTTGAGTTTGTTCTTCAGATAGGTTTTCTGCTGGTGTTCCAGGTTTGCAAGCTTCAGAAGATTGACTTTTTCATGTTGATATCATTATCAGATATCATCAAAAAAGAGTGGCAAAATATGAGAATTGTACATGTAGATTAGTGTAACAATAAATCTATAGAAGGAATTGTATATAGAAAAGAGTACACAAGATAAGAGGTCTGGTATTGACAGCTATGTATAACTTGTAGACAAGATTGCCACTGACTTTCAACAAGAGATTTGTGCAGTGGCAGCTTTTTATATGTGCTTGTGAGCATGTGACTTAGTGCCTTGTGAGAACACATGTACTCCCAACAGCTCATAAGCTGAGGCCCTGAACTCTTGCAGATGTTGTTTGTTCATATAAGGGATTTGCAGGTGAATTCTTACAAGATGTTACATGCTTTGAAACACTGATCAAACATGTATATTAAAGTGCACTATACTGACCAGACAAAGAAGTATACTGTGCCAAATAACTGTAATATACTGATTGAAGAGAATAAACACCATGAATATAAAGTATTTGTGTAGTGAATTAACAAGCATGATGTTAAAAAGATTTTACTGATTCATGAGAGCTTTAAATATACTATATTCTTGATTCTTGATGAGGCTCTTATAACATCAGAATTCTATATCAGCAGTCAGATGAAGCAACTTCATCATAAATGTCTGATTCTCATGCAAGACCTCATGCAATTGGAACATAATGAGCAACAAGATGATAATGAGAATGCCAACAAAGCTGATAATTCATATGCTACTACTCTCTTTTATATTTTAATCAATGTCTACTGCCAACTATCAGCTAGCTGCAGAGTTATAGAATTGCTTAATTTATAAAGTACATAACTTTCCAAACTACTAATTATGCATTTCTTTTTGCAAAAGCTTCAACTTTCATACAGCAGTAATTGAGCATGTTAACATATGCTTGATAAAGATTTGACCTCAATTTAATTATTTCAAAAGCTGATCTTTACATTCAATAAAGATGTGCATTACACTATATTAAAACTTGATAATCTGGTTGAGTATACTTGTGCATCAGACATCAAGATCAGACTAAGATGCATATTCACTCACAATCAGAACAGCTGCTGGAGAGTTTTTTTTGCCATGTTCTCCACTTATGAAATTCAGTGCAAGAGGGTACTGGATTTGCTTATTTTGCAGGTGAATCAGGATGAGGTTCATATAATTAACTTACCTGCAATCTACAAACCAAGCCTTTACATAATATCTGTCAGTAAAGATTTCAAAAGACTTAAACTGGATTCTGCTCTGTTGACTATCTTTCTTAACTGTACTTGGAGTGTTTCCTTTTTATAGATGGATCAGACAGTTTGATGTATGTAGTATTATGCATTAGTTGAAATCTCTCCAGTGTCTGCTGGGGTAACTATATTATAATGGTTTCTATACTATAATAGTTTCTATACTATAATAGTTTCTATACTATAAACATTTATAAACCCAAAAAGGTATCCTGAATGTTCCTAGATATATTCATTGATCAGGGGTTTGAATGTTTCCCAATTTCTATGTTGAGGATTGGAAGCTATGTTTCTGAATTTGGAATGTATATATTTTTAAACTTCCAAACAACTGTGGATTCAGATAAACATATATTCCGATGTAAACATATCGGGACTAGTGGATCTACGGTTTACAAATCCTCCCCATTTCTGCTATGGTAAATAAAGCTCGAAGGTCTGAATAATTAGTCTTATTCCATTTCTTTGCGTGTCATGTTCAATATGGCGCTTCCCAATAGATGAAGTTGCAGCACGACGCGATCCATTCTTGGGAAGCCATGCCTGTAAATTTCTTTAACTGGGATACTTCTTTGGGTTTCTTTTTGGGCGCCGTGATCGTGATTGTCGTCACCTCTCTCCCCTTTGTTTTGTCGTTCGGAGTCCGCGACTTTATCGGTCGAATCCGCCGCGAAAAGAAGTTGGTTTCTATTGCTCATCCACCACGCCCGTCCGAACTAGAGGACATTGAAAGAGACCCTTATTGCGATGATGATGATAATGATGACCTTCTCTCGGGCTTCGTCACGCTGAATGAGTCAGTCGCCACTGAGTTCCAGTCCAAGTTGCAGTCAAGTCGCTGGGCAGATCTCACTAAATTCTTCCTCCGATGGGGACAGAAGTATCTGTCTGACCGTCGTAGATTGGAGAGGGAGCGGAGTAGAAAAAGCCAAGACTGTAAGTACGGGGATTTGCAAGTAAGTCAGTGGCGTTACTAATATCCCTGTTGAAGGCCGTGGTAGGAGTGCTCCAAAGAAACGTGCAGTTCAGGATATGTTCTCGATCCCAGTGCAGACTCCGGTTGTACATCAGCCTCTGGTATCTGAAGTACATGACCTTCTGCACAAATACAGAGATAGTAATGGGCAAGATTGCTTATTGACCAGAGCCAGAGATGATGATCCGGCAATTTGCCTCGCCCTCTCCAGTGCTTTGCAAAATGGAAAAGTTCTCTGGGGCCACTTCTCTCGAGCAGTTATACAACTCGATGAGCATATTGTAGTCAAGCTGGGCCATAACCTGCTCCTCACAGGTGCAGAAGTCATGGCTCATATTCACAAACACACAAACAGCGACATCCCCGTTCCCAAACCACTTGGAGCAATTTCCATCGGCAAGACAACATACATGTTCATGACCCGTGTTGAAGGCTCGCCGCTCGACAAACTCTGGCCGACGTTGTCCAACGAAGAGAAGCTCTCTATTCGCGATCAACTAGATGTCATTCTAGCCAAACTCCGAAAGCTACCCCTCCCGTCGCAGTATCTGGGCATCGGCAATCCACCATTCTGCATTGACTGTAGAATGTGGCTTCGAACAAGCAACACACACCTCAAAAACGAAACTCAGTTTAATCAGTTTCTTCTCTCTGGAAACCATACTCCTGTAACCGCGCCCTATGTTGAATTTGTACGACCCATGCTCCGGGCTGACCATCGCATCGTAATGACGCACGGTGACTTACATCCAAGAAATATCATGGTTGTTCGGGAGCAAGATCCATCTCAATCTACATTCAGTATTACTGTAACGGGCATCATTGACTGGGAGCTCGGAGGGGCATACCCGGAGTACTGGGAGTTTATCAAGTCTCTCAATACAATGTACCCTGTACGACAAGGGGATTGGGCTTTTTTTCTACCTCAAAAGGGTATGGGGACATATTTTGCTGAGTTTGCTATTGATCATTTTGTAGAGAAGATTGTTTCCTAATATAAATTGCATTTCTTAAATGGTAGCCAGAGGATGAAGATTAGAGAACATATTTATAAACTGCCTATTCATGTTTTGTCATCCTGCTGCATGTGGCTCCCAAGCAAGTGCACAGTGGAATAACAGCACACCATTTGTGAAGATGCCAATTCTATTCAACCTAACATACAAATAGAGCGCAATACACGAAGATTCAAAGCTGAGGAAGGGAAGAAGAAGAAGCGAACAAAGCAAGCTACCTAAAATCCTTATATTCCCCCCGCAGGCGGCTTCCAAAGCCCCAAGGCCTAGCCCTGATTTCCTGTTTATACAATGGTCTGAGTCAGCGGTCACGTGCACCAATATTGATGTGGTAGGGCCCAGCGTGCCAGATTTGGTGCCAATCCTTGCCCAACAGGTTCGGGTCCGAGCCCGTGCCGTCACAATTCTCCGGGAAAAAAAGGTAAAGAAATGGAAAAAGAGAGAGAGAGAGAGGGTGCGTGTGTGTGATGAAAATCACAGCTGCAAATCACAAATTTGAATACGCTGTACGTTCCAGGGTCACCTTCTCCCCATGATGGCTCCTTCGTTATCGACAAGCAAGGGGACAGAATAATCTTTAGGCACTTGTCCAAGCTCAATTAGTAGGCCCCGAAGACGAATGACTACCTTTGTGGCCTCACTTGCTAACTCATATTCTGCCTCCGTAGTGGCTCAGTCGGGAATTCCACCTGAGATGTGGATACACCCCAAGGAAAGAGGAATCAGTCATCGTCTGTGCCTCTAGGGTCGAAAGAGTAAAAGGTGCGGGCTGAGATTAAAGCAAGCGAAGCAAGCCCAACCAGCTCGCCTTTGGACCAACGAATACTCTTTACCACGAGATGCTAGAATGGAGAGAATAAAAAGTGAGAAAGTATTTTAAGAATGGAGAGTGAGATTAACCCAACCTGCTCCAGTTCTTGAATTGAGTCAGCGGAGGTGGTTGCAGACACAAAGCTTACAGCCAGCGAATTAACTAGCCAACGGTCAAGATTCTCAGTTCCAACCGCACTGTTATCTTTGCTATATTTTTGCATAAGTTCCATGGTGATTCTAGCCACAGCAAGGACATCCTCCTTTTGCTTTTCTTCCAGTAGGCTTCAGCTGTGGTTTTTTCATAAGAGAAGAATATATACCGATTTGTATCCTTCCATCAAGGCCCATCAAAATGTTCAAGCAATTCAAGGATTCATGCTTGAAATGTTGTGCTATGAGATAGGAGAGGCCGTTTAGGATCTGATGGTTATGAGCAACGACTTCAAAGAGTGCAAACAGCGAGGGGGGAAAAACCTGAGTCAAGATAACAGCCAGTTGCCGCTCGTTGGGGTATGCTTTGCATGCAACAATATGCTCTAGAGTAAGTGGTAAATGATCAACCTCAAGTTAAACCACATCTTGCACGCGGAAGCACTGAAGGGCTTTGATCACATTTTCATGATCGATATCATGAAACTTTTCCAAAATCCCATCAGCATCTTTGCTCGCGAACTCACAGATGGCACGAAGGCGGGTGGGGTTGGTCTGATGAACGATCACTGCAACATCGCCTGCCAGATCACAGTCACAGATTTTTTTTAAATGTATCCCAGGGGGACTCGTTCCTTGTGATAAGTGACCGACCTGTGCTTATTCCAGATCTGGAGGCCTCTACAAGGGAAATATTGCGAGCCTTGCCAGTTATGATCTTTCAATTGCCTCGCAGTGAGGGTGGCGGAGGAGATTTTCTCTTGGCCAGACGACTGGCTGAGGCTGAAGCTGTTGTATTTGAGAGCAAATTGGGATGTTTTGGCAGTTCGGGGATTTGCGGCTTTGGAGAGGGTGGGCCCACTCTTAACCTGTCAAGGTCAAATCGAGTAGAGCGCTTGTCTTCTGTCGACATATCTACAAAAAAAAAAAAAAAAAGATAATGTTCGGCGAACGCAGATTGAAGACGGAGGGAAACAAAGGGTTAAAATATGTATGTGGCCCCTCAGGATGAGTTAACTGTGTACTGCTCAGGGACATTCCCTCAGGATTGAGTCAACCATGTATTGCTCTCAGGGAGGAAGCTTCCCAGAGCAGCCTTCCTCAGCTACAAAGGTGCCCCTGCCAGCCATGTTTTCCCTTCCGTTTCCCATTCTCCTCCTGCTTCCTTTGCTATATCTTTTGCTGCCTGTCTTCTTGTCATGCACCGAGCTTGGTTCACGGAAGAGGAGGTGAGGGTCGCCACGGAGCGACGTCTAAAATACCAGGGCACGGCCAAGGTCCGGCTTGACCAGATCCAGTTTGACCCTCCTCTCCCGCGAGACCTCAATTCCAGTAATTTGGAGCGACTTCGACAGGTTTTCCAAAAAAAAAACACTGTCGCTGTCTTGATGCTGACAATCATGTGCCAGCAATCATATCGCACCAAAACCTCAAAGAAGCACTCGATTGTGCCAAGGTTCAGCCCCATGACTTTGAAGACTAATCTTCCAGAGAAGTACCCCATGCTCCATTTTCACAATAGCAAGCTTCATGGCCTTCATGGCCGCCACCGGGTCCAAGTTGTGTCCGAACTCCTCCCCCCTGTCGACCGGTGGTGGATGGTGGATCTCTACTTGGATGGTATCCTTCCATGGGTACGTGTACCACCTATGGCGCCGACTATTCTGAATTATATGTAGATGTCGGTGAGGAATTCAGGATCTCCCTTCTTGAGGAGTATGCAAACCAGAGAAAACCCACCAATGGAGAAATATACCAGAAGATCTGTCAATATGAAGAAGAACAGAATGAACCATTTCAGCAGCAATGGCTTGCGTGCTTGCTGTGCTGTAATCAGAAACACCTTGAACAGCTTGACAATCACCAGAATCATTGACTCTGCCAGGGCTTCAATGCACTGTTGGCCATCCCGGGCCTCTGGGGCCGCAGGATGCGGATCAGCATGATCCATTGCCTGGTCACTATTGATTGTGTTGAGGTATGTCCAGTCAGCACAGCATTGACACACTTCATGCTCTAACATTTTGGAAGGAAATCCTCAACTACCTTGAGAGTGTGAAGGAGTTCTGGTCATCCCTTGTTAACCATCATCTGATTGCAATGAAAAGAATTGATCAAGACATGGTGGAGAAGCTTCAATTGATGGCCCCCTGTGCATCTTACATTGATGTGCAAGCTGTGTATGGATTTATTCTGAGCAGTCAGGCCTTTGCCAGCTTCAGTGAAACTGAGTGATGGACTGTCTGGACCTGAATGGAAAGGTTTGGTAGGTTGGTCCCATCCCTGCACACTTTCTTTAAGGACTTCAAGTACCTGGAAAGCTGTGCTCAGTGCATAAAATGACTGTTTAGCCCCCCCTGACAAGTCCATCTGGAAAAGCATAACAGATATGTTTGTGACATCTTCTGAGATAGAGAAAGATTGTCTTGTTCAGACATCAGAGTCTACCTTCCAACAAACTCACATGGCGGGCATGGAGTGTCTTGATATTGTGTACCAGCAGGTTTGGCTCTATGCCATGCAACATTATCCCTCAATGCCAGCAGACCTGAAGAATGACAATGACCTGCTGGCCAAACCAAATCATGCCAAAGCCAATGAATGTGTGGTCTATAAGATGGCTGCACTGGTGCACTGTCTCAGGTTCTGCTCCACCAAGATCACAGAATTAATGAACCAGTCTCCTGACAGACAGATTGCACAGGCCACTCTTCTCAAGGCCCAAAAACCCAGCTGCTTTTAATATAACTCTCAAGTATTTGAGACTCTTGTTGACTGAATTGTCAATTGTTTTTTAACTGTGGACCCTGATGAACCAGAACAGACTCATGAGCTGCTTGCTGATGCCATTGTGAAACCATGGGCATGTTGCAGTATGCCGCAAACACAGACACATAGACAAGACAGTGCCTTTCTCTTCCTTGATAATTTACATACAGATGCACCACCAGCTGCTGATACCATTACCACATTCTTTGCCTGCTGCTGCATTTACTTTGCCTTCCTTGGAAAGGCCTCCTCTTTTTAATCTAGGGATAGGGAGGGTAGTGGGCATTCTCCCCCTGATAGTTCTCTTTTAGATGTTCCAATGTCACCTTTGTTTGTTCAAGATGGCCATTGGGAGCAAGGGCGGCTGGGACAAGAGCTTCAAAGGGAACACAAGTGGGGAAGGCAGCAGAATGCACCCTGTGGGGAGAGGGGGGGGCCCACCACACAACACCAAGCTCGCAAAACACATACATACAGACAGTGGTATGAACACCTCCTTCAACACAATCAACTGCTAATGGAGTTAGATGTTGACCCACCTGATGACAACTATACCAATCCAATGCGGGAAACAGACATGTTGAGACTGAGCTGGATCCTGCTGAAAACAATGCAGGATCACAGGGACCAGATATATTCAAGCATGAGCTAACAGAATTTGTGGAGTTTCAACAACAGCTGTGTGACCAAGAGATCTCCATGTACTACCCTCCGGATGAACTGCTAGTGATTCTTGATATAGTGCTTCTGGAGTATCAAGACCAACGGGCCTATATGGAAGAAAGTTCTCCTCCAGACCTTGTTGACCTGGAGTGTGTAAACAGGTTTTTGGCACAGCAACCAGCTGAATCAGACACTGGTGTAGCGGATCTGATTGAACAGATTGACACTAAACTAGAAGAACCAATGCAAGCTGACAATAGAATCCAGGATGAAGACTACCAGGAACACCAGCAGCAGCAATCAGACCAGAACTTGTCATCCTGGGACAAAATTGCTCATGACCTTGAAGAGCGCGAGAGGCTAGATGCAGAGTGGGAGAGGGAGCAGCTGGAACAAGAGCTTAATATAATACAACCTGCTGAAACACCCCAGCCTCAGCCAGAAGTCAGCCAAGAAATCCTGCCGCCAGGTGGCAACAATTCTAATCAAGAGCAGCCAGTGACTGAACCTGATGTGGAAAGCACAGCAATTGCACTTAGAGCTGACAGAGATGACCTGAATGACAGTAGTAATATAAAACAGAAAAACAGTAGACTCTAAATTAACAGACTCCAAGTTAACAAGCTTTAAGCAGAGAGATCTTGTCATGCATGCTTTACATATATATTACTGCTGTTCTCTTTGACTACTGTAAGGATTCACCTGTGAACCCCTTACACAGATGAATAACACCTGTAAGAGCTGAGAGCCTCAGCTTGCAAGCTGTTGAAAGTTGCATGTGTTCTACAAGACATTAAGTCATGTGCCTGCAAGCACACATAAAGACTGCTACTGCATGAATCTCTTACTAAGAGCTAGTAGCAATCTTGTTTACAAGTTATATATAATTGCTAGAATACCAGATCTTTTATAATCTCATAGGAAAGTCTAAGTATCAAAGTAGCAAGATTTATAATGAAGACTAGATTACTTGAACAGTTACAGCACACCAATATAGAGTTAGTAAAGTGATAAGCCTTTCTGAAAAGTAATACAGGTGTTAGGGAACCTAACATAGGTTTCATAGGTATTTCTAGAATTTGAAATACAAAAGAGCTAAATAGGTCTAATACCTACAACTGGTGAGAGAGAGTTGCGTGTAGAATGTAGGGGTCCTCTAACTTGAAGACTGAACACTGACATTTTCATGATCTATGCAAATTATATGATTCTTACATGTTCAGAGTTATAGATTGTATGAGTTCCTCTGAACATCTGATATTATCTGATGCTTGGTTAACCTGTGTTTGTAATAACAGGATAAAAAGATACAGCAGCAGAGATATGCAGGATTCAGAATACACCAGCTATAATAGTATCAAGAATCTATCTGTATTTTTATTTATATCTCATTTCTTGCTTCTTAACACTTACTGCTTTTGAGATTATAAAGAATAATGAAAAACCTGTATTTATATTATTATGTTTGTTTAGTTTGCTTGTTATTATGTTTGTTTATTTTGCTTGTTATAGTGTTTGCTTATTTTGTATGGAGGTGTGGAACAAAAGTTCCCAGAAACTCTATTATATTTCAATGTATTGCAGTTACCTGCTGCCCCACCAAAATTTGGTGGGGTAGCAGGTATTTCCCCAAACTGTGGAAGGAAGCTAACTTTCAAATTCACTGTGAAAACTGGCAAGCTTGTTTGACAAGACAAGAGGAGAGTTGATTAATATAGATATCAGAAGATATTAAGATTCTATCATCTTATTATTGAATTCTCTAGCTAATCTGATATTTCTTTTATTTTAGAAGATTCTTCTTGCCAAATTATTCTCTTTTGTCAAGAAATGTCTTGAATCCCAATTCAATACTGTTGTTCTAGAAGATGAAGCTTCAGCACATATCTATTTCTATTAACAAGAGCTTTACAATATACACAAGATCAACTACTTACTTTGGTCTGGCAATTCACCAGATTTAAATATGATTGAGTCTGTCTGAATATAGCTCAAGTAATATACAACTGCTAAAGATACCCCACAAGAATTCAAGACTGCTGAACATAAATAAAAGAAAGTCTGGAAAGAGCTGTCACAAGTAAAGATTCAACAGTGGATTGAGTGAATTTCACATTATATTTAAGAAATTATATGCTTGAAAGAGAGTAATGAGTATAGAGAAAGTAATTATAAGATATCTTGTATATAGAAGAATCAACAACTTAAGAAAAAGCTCTCTTAACAGTAGAATCTTGAGACAGATTCTTGAGCAGCTGATCTAAAGACTTTAAAAGCTGCTGAAGCTTTAGCTGCATTATATAATTTGGGTAGAGAGGATTCTTGAGAGAATACTGAAGATGAGAATTTGGAACAGAATTCAGATAAGAGTGACTTGTCAATTTCAGGGGTACTTGAGTTTCCTAGCAAATTTGGTGGAGTAGTGGGTATTTGTAAAACAGTATTGTCTGTATAAGCTTTCCGGGAACTTTTGTTCCACACCTCCGTAGCTAGAGCACATAACTGAGCTGGTGATCACGCGAGGTTATGCCTGCATAGCTGCTGACAAAGTGGCTAGGTGTTGGAGCATGGAAAAATAATCTTGGTTGTACTGCTACAAAAGAGGCTAGCAAGATCTCATCTCTTACAGTAAGATGGAGCTTGGCAGCAGAAAAGAGTCAGATCAAGAGTGATCACATAAGATTACATGCATGCTAAGCTCAAAAGAGATTAAAGTGCACAAATACTCTCACTCACTCTCAGAGCAACAGATTTACTAGCTAAGAGCTTTAAAGATTATCTCCAGCAGGATCACAAAATCTCTTACTTATAGAGATTGATACACACTTTCAAGGAAAAAAATAAGCTAATTACATGCAGGTTAGATGAAAATCTTACAGATAAAACTCTGTAGAAAAAAAACTCATAAGAAAATTATGCTTAAGTAGATAGATGACTGCTATTCTATAAGTATTTTATATTGAGAAATCCATCTCTATATTCTTCAAAAATCTCAAGTCAAGTTCCACAATATGCTTATAATAAAGATCTTTAGATAACAGCTTTATGAGAATATCTACTGTTATTTTGTTGGTGTGTATATATTTTAATTATATTTGGTCATGCATGACAGTCTCTTTGTTATGAATCCTGCAGCACAATGACAGAACATACAAGATGATTGGATGACATCTGACAAGATGAAATTACAGACTGTTGTAGAAGAATCTTGAGACAAGAATCATATAACCAGTGATAGAACTGATAAGCTGACTGATTGCACCAAGCATGATAGGATTGATCAGAGAACATAGCAAATGTATTATGATAGAACAGATAGAACAGCTTAGTAAAACTATCACCAGAGAAGTATCATATATATAAGAACACTCATTATTAGAGATCTGATGAACTTGTTCATCATAATTAATCTTCTTACTTATCTACTAGATATCTTTGAATCAGATACTTTCATATCTTGGTTACTTTTCATATTACTGAAGTCCTGTGATACTGTATAACTGTACCTGATTCCACTACTCTTGAGAAGATCTTATAGTCTTGCTCTGACTCTGTTACATCTGCATGAAAACTCTTTATTATCAGAGCAAGACTGCCAGCTTAACTGGAGTATTATTAGACTATTGATTACTATCTTAATCTGTTATTACTTACTGTAATACTCTTTAATTCTTAACAATTCAAGAGTATCACATAAATATATAACACATTAATTATCTCTGACTCAGAAGAAAATACATCTGAGATTTCAGAGATTATATATAAAGAAAGAACTTTCTGCATCATATTAAAAGATAAAGATATGATTTCACTCTATATCAAGATCTAACAAAATATAAAAACTATGTCTGCATTTAAAGCACCAGCTATCAACACTTAAGATCTTATAAATAGAATCTTGCAGCTTGAACAGATTATCAAGAAACTTGAAGAGCAGAACTGTAAATTAAAAGATTATAATAAGCAGCTTGAGACTCAAATCATGACTATCTTATTTACTGAACAACAGAAAAAGAAAGATAAAATTAAAATTAATTTATCAGAACTCTTTAAGAGCAAACAAGAAAAATTACAAGCTTTCTTGAGTTAACTACACATCTACATAAATATAAAAAGTAAAGAACTTAACAGCAACAAGAACAAGATAATAATAGTAGTATTATATCTTTACAGAGTAGTATTTAATTAATTCAATATCTATCTGTAGAATTACTACAAGAAAGATAAAGATTACCAGAACAATAATATACTCAAGATTATTAATAATTATAATATCTTTATTTGAACATTGAAAACTACTTTTAGAGAAGTCAAGAAACAGAATGTAGCAGTTCAGCAGCTATATCATATATAATAAAAGATATCACTACAAGATTATACTATGAGATTCCAGCAAGTCTGTATCAATACTGATTAGAATAATGAAGCCTTAGCTGATATCTTTTATTAAGAACTATTTGATGAGATCAAAAATAAAATAGTATAATTGAAAAAATGATCACACATTCTGACCAAAATAGTTGAAGTGGCAGTCAGGATTGAAAACTAACTTTATGAATGAAAAATGGAAAAACAAGAAAAAGCATTATAAAAGAGAGTCAGTCTGTTAAATTATATGAAAAATTGAGACCAGAATAAGCCAGTACAACCAGATTCTTATAAACACACACTTATAAAGCTGAATATGACAAAGTTTGACACTATTAATAAGAAAGAGAAAGAACAGAGAAAAAAGAAAAAATTATACTTCTACTGCATCAAGCTAAGATACTGAGTGAGATAATGCAGAGTAAAGAAGACAGATTAAAAAGATAAGAAACTCAGAATAATCTTAAAAAAAAATAAAGAAGATTCTGAAGTGAAATAGTATCTTTAAGTAATAACTTAGAAAGAGCAAATTAAAGAAGAACTTTAATAACAGTTCAGAAAAATATTCAAAGATCAAATTATAAAAGCTTATCTGAAGCTACTTCAGCAGCCAGAAAGTGAATCAAAATACTAAAACAAGCTGAATAATAAAAAATAGAAGTTATGTGAAGAACTATATATAAGAACAAGAAATGAATCAAGTAATAATTAAAGAATTTGATCACTTGACTGTAAATATTATTATGGACAAAAAATGAACAAAATTCAAGACTTAAAATACAAGAAACATGCTTAATACTTAATCTATAAATATTTATGCAAACTTTACCAGAAACAACAAGAAAAGTTCAAATAATGAATATAGATTATGAAAGACTTCATGTATTACAGAGACTATAGCTGTAATATCAAAAATTACTAGTGTTGCAGATGCAACACTGAGAAGAAAGAATGAAAAATGCCAGACTTACAGAATATCTTATATATAAAATATCCAGATTACACCAGAATTCATTAAAGCTTTTGTTATGAGAATGATTACTCTATCCATTAAGATAAAAAGAATAGCAGATATTACTTATAACTACTGAAGGAGCTGTAAGTAATCCAGAAGCAAGATAATAGTAATAATGAAGAATATTAGTTGGATAAGAAAGAAAAGCTCACACTGAAGTTAAGAGAAGAGCTAAGCTGGAAAATACTAGAATTTGAGAAGCACAAAGATGATATCATGAAAAAATTAAGTCTTA